CCCAATTTCCTCTTCCTCCTGTCTCAGCCTCTCAAGTAGCTTAGACTACAAGCAATCATCACCATATCCACCTAACAATTTTAATTAGAGAATTCAAATGTCTCTGTAATTGATGATACAGTAGAAAATTAATACAACTATAAAAGATTTGAATAGTACCTCCCAATTTAACCTAATTGATACATGTGACTCAACTAACAATAAAAGAATATACAATCTAAAATGTATACATGGAACATTCCTGAAGTTAGACTGTATTCAGCATCATAAAACAAGTTTCATCGGTTTAAAAAGGAATGAGGGCCGTCAGTGAAGTACAGTGGTGGAACATTTGCATAGCATGTATAAGTCCCTGAACTTGACTCTCAAAACTACAAAAAAAAAAAAATACAAAGTTTATTGTGTATCCACAATGAAATGAGGAGTCAAAGGATGAGAATATTAAAAAGTATGAACAAAAGTATGCAATGAGCAAAAATGAAATGTATAAATTCTTGAGAGCCACAAACTATCAAAGTGCACAAAACATCTTAAAGATGTTAACCTGAATAGCTCCATAAAGATAATCAAGTACAGAAATCTGGATCATCTTAGAAGAAAATTGCAAGACTTGCTTGACTGTTGCAATCTTGAAGGCATATTTAAAATTGTTTAGATTACTTTATTTGATCTTCATGAATGTTTTGCCTGCGCATAGGTGTGCACAACTTCTGTGATGCCTACAGAGTCAGAAGAGGGTGTCAGATATTTTCAGATGGCTGTGGGCCACCTTTCAAGTTCTGAGAAGCAAACCCAGTTCCTCTTCAAAAGCAATGAGTGCTCTTTCTTAACTGCAGAATTACATTTCCAGACCCATTGCAAATATTTAAGGAAGGAAAAATACTAATTTTGTAGTTACTCTTTCAGAAAATAGAAAGCTGAATACATCAAAACACATGAGTCTAACGTGACATTGATACAAAGTTCTGACTGACAAGAAAAAACTTCCTATCTAATATCTCTCACCAGCATGGAGGTATAGCAAGTGAAATGTAACTGCTTAAAAAGATAGTATAGTGAGAAAATCAGTTTCATTTCACTATTTTGTGAAATTGATTATATTAACAAAATTTAAAAGATAATGACATTATCATAGTAAAGAAATACATTTGAAAAAGTCTCATGATTTTTAAAAATGTTTTCTGCAAACTAACAACACAAGAAAATTTCACTAAGCTGATATGAGATTGTGTGTGTATTGTGTATGTTGTTGTTTTTTACCTCATGGCTAATCATAAAAATGAGTGCTTTCTCTCTAGACTGAGAAAAAAAGCAAATATGCATAGATTTTCAGCTTCTTTCAACATTTTACTTGTGTGCCTAACCAATGAAGTATGGTATAAGAAAGACAATTCAGATGGATTAGAGATAAATAAAAAAGAAGTACAACAATCTTCATTCTTTGGCACAATTGGCTATATTATGAAGCCTAAAGAAATTCCAGTTATTTAAACTAATAGTGGATTCTGAAAGATATTAGGATTGACAGTTAATTACAAAAATGTTTATATGTTTATATTAAACTACAAATAAGAAATGAAGATTAAAGTGATGGCTTTGTCATCATATATATTTGAAATTGAAATGGCCTCTGTGCAAGGATGACATGCTAATTTGTGAAGTAGTCTATAATTTTATGTGAAAGAGAAAAATGTCAACTAAGGTAAACACATCAAAATAACAGTAATTTTTTTCACTAATAACTCTAAAAGCCAGGATACTAAAGAATGATGTATTTCAAGCTAGGAAAGTCAATAACTGCTGGATAGCATTGCTATGTCCAAAAAAGCTATTCTTTAAATTTGATGAAGAAATAAGGACAGTTCGAATAAGTACAAACTAAGATCACGAAAACTAATTCACCAATGCAGTAGATATTTAAAAAATACTAAGCATGAGGTAAGAACAGCCTCAATCATAAGACTACAGGATCAAGGGATCAACTGATACACAAAGGAGACCCTGAAAGGAATAAATAAACTCCAATAAATCAAGCCAGCAAATCACAAATTCTAATAGAGGAAAATGTAAAGGGCAAACAGTAATCCAACCAATCAGAAAAACAACAAAACTATAAGAGTTTGTGAT